AATGCAGAGGATGCTACGATGATAGTTATCATGACAGTCATCCGCAGCTTTGGCAATGCAGGGGATGCTGCGATGATAGTTATCATAAGAGTCATCATCCTCATCATCTTCATGATCATTGTCATCATAGTTATCACCGTCATCATCGTCATCATGATTGTCATCATCCTCTCTTTCTTCTACTTCTACAGTCATCATCGTCATCATGATTGTCATCATCATCTCTTTCTTTTATACATTTCAATCGTGGCGTTAGGCACCCTTGGTAATGCAGAGGATGCTACGATGATAGTTATCATGACAGTTATCCGCAGCCTTGGTAATGCCGGATGCTGCGATGATAGTTATCATAAGAGTCATCATCCTTATCATCTTCATGATGATTGTCATCATAGTTGTCACCGTCATCATCGTCATTGTGATTGTCATCATCATCTCTTTCTTCTATACATTTCTAATGTGGCGTTAAGCACCCTTGGTAATGCAGAAGATGCTACGATGATAGTTATCATGACAGTCATCCGCAGCTTTGGTAATGCAGAGGATGCTACGATGATAGTTATCATGATTGTCATCATAGTCATCATCTTCTTCATCGTCATCATGATTCTCATCATCATCGCTTTCCTCGACCAGGGCCCCAGCTTCAGCAAATCCGATGATAGAGATCATAAGAGTTGTCATCCTTATCATCTTCATGATGATTGTCATCATAATCATCGCCTTCATCATCGTCATCATGATTGTCATCATCATATCATCTGTTTCTTGTATACATTTCAAATGTGGCGTTAGGCACCCTTGGTAATGCAGAGGATGCTACGATGATAGTTATCATAACAGTCATCCGCAGCTTTGGTAATGCAGAGGATGCTACGATGATAGTTATCATAAGAGTCATCATCCTTATCATCTTCTTGATGGTTGTCATCATAGTCATCACCTTCATCATCGTCATCATGATTGTCATGATCATCTCTTCTTCTATACATTTCATGATGACGGTCGTCATCATCACCATCATCGCTCTTCTCATCATAATCATGATGATCATCATCATCTCTTTCTTGTTCTTATATGCATTTCAAAAGTAACGTTAGACACCATTGGCAATGCAGAGGATGCTACGATGATAGATATCATCAGGCCTCACCCTTATCATCACCATCATCATGGTCATCATCATCTCTTATTAGCCGGCACTGGTGATGCCGAGGATGCTACGATGATATTTATCATCACAGTCCTCATCCTTGTCATCATTATCATCATGGTCATCATCGTCTCGTATTAGCCGGGGATGCTACGATGATAGTTATCATCACAGTCCTCATCCTTGTCATCATTCTCATCACGCTCAGCACAGCAGTTTTTGACGGTATTTACAGCGTTTTGTAGAGCGAGGACCCAGCATCGCCGGCATGCCCGGCAGCGCTTGGCGCCAAAATGCGCGAAAATGAGCCTCGCTTATATCCCTCCGGCGCCTTCTAAAAAACAGTGCTTTTTTGGTTGAGAGGCTTTTTGGAAGGAAGTCCGGATGATGCAGACCAAGCCCCGCTGAAGCATCGCCCAGGCCCAACCCCACACCCTGATGATGTCAGCCACATGGCCTAAACCCTGCTTTTACGCGATGTTTTGCGAGGGTTTCCCACAAACAAGCAAAACCGCAAGCCCGAGCTGGTGATGCAGAGGTGCCGGATTTAGGCAGCGCGTCACGACCAAGTGGCGAGGGTCGGCGGCACCAGGGTGCACCCCCTATAGCTAAAGCTAGCAGGCTAATTGCCTAGCGGCGACATGCGGCCACCAGGCGCCCTGCCCTTTTCGTTCTATCATTTCCTTTTCCTTTAATTGCCGCTAGTTCCCGGGATTTGAACTTCACTTCCTTTCGCCCCATGTCCGTGTCAGCTCCCTTCATTTCCTTGAACGCCCCTTCACTCGCACTCCTTTCCCTTAGTTCTTTTAGTTCCCTTCATTTCTCTTCAGTTTCTCTTCGTTTCCCATAATTGCCAACAATTTCTTTTCATTCCCATCCTCCGGTTCCCTTCACGTTCTGCCCTTGCATTTTCCTGCATTTTGGTTTCTCTCCAGCGCCTTCTTCGTGCAATTCCTTTCCCTTCCATTTCACTCCTGTTTCCCTTACACTTTGCAATTTGCAGCCCCTGGTTTCGCATCGCCCGCATGCCTAGCATCATCCGCATCATCCGGGATGATGCTGGCAATGCTGGGGGTGTTGTCCAGTATTAGGCACCCCCGAAAACACTCGTTTTTGGACGCCGCGGGAAAATGCGACAAACAACCTCGAAACCAATCCGCAAATCCTCGCCCCTTATAAGGGCCCGTAAGGGCGGGCCCAGCGCAAAACGTATGCACGGAAACACACTGAAGAGTACCCACTCTAGGTCTCTAGGTTCACTCCACGTTCACTCCGTGTCGAACGGAGGCTGCATTCACTGCTAAGGGGCGAAGGATTTTTGAATTTGTTCAAGCGATTTGTGACGACTTGTTGAGCATATCACCTGCATCGTCCGCATCCATGGCGGACATTCGGATAAGGCCGGTGATGCGGGGGATGCTGGAAATTGTGTCCCCTGAGTCAGGCCAATTTTGCCGAGAACGTGCAAAAACACAGTGTTTTTGAAGGTTTTTGGCGGGTGCAAACGTGGAAAATATGGAAACCTGCTTAGCAGGCAGGCTTCAACGGTCCCGGCCGAACTCGATTTTTTGTAGGCTTTTCGGTGAACCGCGGAAAAAACACTGTGTTTTCGATAGTTTTGTATGGATTCAAGGCCGGGCGCAAACGTAGAAAATGTGGAAACCTGCTTAGCAGGCAGGGCTCACCTCTCCCCGGCCGAACCAGTAGAAAAACCGAGTGTTTTTGCTGGTTTTGTATGGGTTGAAGGCCGCGCAGTTGCGAAAATCATGACAGCACGTGGAACACTGATGCTTTTCGGGGCGCCCGGCTGTCAGGCGTAAGCCGTTAAATCCGGGCGCCCCGAGCCCGTGGTTTCCCCGAGGCCTTCGGTTCCCTCTAACCGAAGGTTATAAGGCTCGCGCCCCCTGCCGCCGACCCACTCTAGGTTGTCGAACGGAGGCTGCATTCACTGCTAAGGGGCGAAGGATTTGTGAATTTGTTCAGGCGATTTTTGACGACTTGTTGAGCATATCACCTGCATCGTCCGCATCCATGGCGGACATTGATGCGGATAAGGCTGCCGCCCAGTGCCGCCGACCCCTGGATTTACTTGTGGTTTTCGAGCAAAAAAACAGTGCAGATAACAAGCATGAGGACTGTGATGATAACTCTTATCGTAGCATCCTCGGCATCACCAGTGCCGGCTAATACGAGACGATGATGACCATGATGATAATGATGACAAGGATGAGGGCTGTGATGATAAATATCATCGCATCCTCGGCATCACCAGTGCCGGCTAATAAGAGATGATGATAACCATGATGATAGTGATGATAAGGATGAGGACTGTCATGATAACTATCGTCGTAGCATCCTCTGCATTGCCAATGGTGTCTAACGTTCCTTTTGAAATACATATAAGAACAAGAATAAGATGATGATGATCATCATGATGATGATGAAACGAGCGATGGCATCATAATAAGGATGATCATGATGATGATTGTGATGATAACTATCATCGTAGCACCCTTTGCATCACCAGTGCTGCCGAATAAGAGATGATGATGACCGCGATGATAATGATGACAAGGATGAGGACTGTGATGATAACTATCATCGTAGCATCCTCGGCATCACCAGCGCCGGCCAATAAGAGACGATGATGACCGTGATGACTACGATGACAAAGATGAGGGCTGTGATGATAAATATCAGCGTAGCATCCTCGGCATCATCAGTGCCGGCTAATAAGAGATGATGATGACCATGATGATAGTGATGATAAGGAGGAGGACTGTGATGATAACTATCATCGTAGCATCCTCTGCATTGCCAATGGTGTCTAACGTTACTTTTGAAATGCATGTAAGAACAAGAAGGAGATGATAATAATCATCATGATGATGATGAGAAGAGCGATGACATCATGATAATGGTAAGGATGATCATGATGATGACTGTGATGATAACTATCATCGTAGCACCCTTTGCGTCACTGTTGTTCTGTCCGTTTTGCTTTTGCTGTGGCTGGCTCGCGTGCTGCGCGGTCCTTGCTTTTTGCGCGTTGGTTTTCGGGCCTTTCGGCGCGCGCGCGCGCGCGCGACCCCAGCCACAAAACGCTGCTATTTACGGTGTTTTGTTGCTTTTGCGTTTCCGGGCTGGCTTGCGGGCTGTTCATTTTGGGCTGCTGTTTCTGCGGCCTCTGGCGCGCGCGCGCGCGCGACCCTATGTGAGCCTTCTGGTTTGGGTCCTGGCTAGGGCCCAGAAAGCTGGCATCCCCGGCATCATCTGGGGTTGGGGTGGGCAACAGGCATAACCGAACCAGCCATATCATAGCACAGGATACGTTTCTCATACAAAAACATGACATGACATGGTATAACTTCAAAGAGGCGTAGCCGGCTAGAGGCCGCACGCCCAGAAAATATTGAAGATGGCCCAAAGGGGAAAGGAGAGTAATCCTTGATAACGCCAAGGCAACATGGGTGCTTCAAAACTGGCAGTTTCAGAAACAGGATGTAGCGCTCAGGGCCCCAAGGATAAAAAACAGGAAGCATGACCGAGGCTCATGGCGCTGGGCAAACTGGATTTTTGAAGCTTGGATGCCCAACATGGAAGCATACGCAAACGTCAACATGGCATTGGGAGACCCCTTCGGAGAATGGCAGGGAGCAACTGGAGTCACGTGCCGGAGAAACTTGCCACAAAGATTCCTGGCCGCGCGCCAGAGGCTTGGGCAGCGCTCTCTGAAATGTACCAAGCTTGCAGCTCGGACCCAGAGGCAGTGTGACATCACCTGACTTGCCCCATCCCGCCAGTGGGTTGCGGGAGGCAAATCGGGACGGAACCTCCGATTCTCGGCCTCGCCTGGCTGAAAGGCGCCCAGAGCCAACGCCTCCAACTCCGAGACCGAGCTCTCTGTACTCAGCTCCTCAAGCGCCGCGCGTGGGAAAAACGGCAGGGGGCCAGCCGTGCGGCGAAGCGTCCGCTTAAAAATGTGTGACTTCCCAAAAAAGAAAGGTGCCCCCGCATTTGTGTGGACAGATTCAAGTCTTGTTGCGTTTCTTCAGGGCTGCCAGGCTTTTATCTTGCAGAATGCCATGTTCGTGGCCTGAGGCACACGCACTTCCCAATGTACACTCGCCCACAAATGGTACACGGCCGAGAACCAGAAAAACAACCAATTCAAGGCCCTCTCGCCATACGTGCCGTTCAGACTTTGCACTGGAATGACCAGCCCACAGCCATCAGGTATACACTGCTGCCACCGGCCATGTGAGCTCGACTGAGGCAAAATGATTGGGGTCATGTCGTAGCACGGTAGCAACACCTTCAACAAAACATGATTCTCACTGGCTAACCTTCACCACCTTCCAAACATTTACTAGCTGCTAGCAACTTCAAGCATGCGGATCAAGGTTCCGGGCAACAGGCAACTGCCAACGGCTTATTTTTCTGTTCCAAATCAAGCAAGGAGCCCAGTGAAATTCGCTGGTTTTTGTTTTACGGAGTGTACCGTTCTGGTGGTTGACCTAAACACGAGACTAAGTGCGGGACCAAAGAGAGGTCAAGAGCTGGCATCCTCATGTCTTCTTGGCCTCCTTTTGGGCATTGGTCTGCGAAACACCCTCCAGAACAGAGAGAGCAGGGAGCAAACACGTTTCGACACCGCCCCCTCCCAAGCAAATGGCGATACGAAACAACACCACCGACCCCCCCCCTTCCCAGGCCCATCTTGAACTCTTCGTTGAGCCCTTGGCCGAGGCCCCCTACGAATAAGCAAAGGAAAACCACGCACGCCACAACAGAACCAAGCCAAAGAAAACAAAACAACTCACACATGCGCGTGTGCGCGCGCACACACACACACACCCGAACAGCGCAACCCAACAAGGTGGAAAGGATCTCATGCCAAAAAGGAGCACTCCTCCAGCACAAAGGCGCTGGTGCTGCCTTTCAGCGTGCTCTGTACCCGAACCTTGGACCGCGCACTCAGGACGGGTCTTATGGGTCCCAGGTGCTGAACGAGACCCTCCCAATCCTTTGGTTTGCCCGCAACTCAATATGGCTACCTGAACATGTCTGATCTTCCGTTTATCAAAGAAACCAAGAGAGCAAACGTCGATGTTCTCTTTCCGGTATGTCCCCCCCTAACAACCGAGGCATCACAGAATTCGGATGGCGGAGTTAGGGCTCCGGCGCTCAAAGCCTCCGCCGGTGCCTCGGGTTCCGCTGGTGCCGCCGGCAAAGCTGGCGCTGGCGCGGGCGGAGCTACCGGCGCTGCTTGCGCGGGCGGACGCGGCACCGCATCTGGGGCAGCAAAGAATCGGCGAGTTGGCGGTTGATCGCTTTGGCTTCATGTGGTCTTGTCAAGGTGTTCCTAGAATTTCCCTTGGAAGAAACAAAAGGCCCACTCCCAAGTCAACACCTCTCCTTTCCAAAGATTCCGCGTGCCAAGTATTCTGCAAGACCGCAGCTCAAGAAGGCGCCAACAGAAGCTCTATGTTCACCTTCCTTTCAATCAGGGATCCCCCAATCAAGAAGACTCGACCTTACGGGACTTGAGTTCGCCAAACCGAAACCCGAGACTTGAGTTCGTCAAACCGAAGCCCGCCTGTCTTCGGAGCCTCAGAAAAGCGAGCGGCATGGCACACAAGCAAACCGGGAGGGGGGGAACGCGGAAGCTAGGCCCAACCGAAATGTGGCATCCAGGAATGCTTCAATGAAGTTCCGCAGCTTGCTCACCCTTTGGCTCGCAAAGTGCCTGCAGAAAAGGTGTTCCGAAGGTTGGCGACTCAATGACAGAAGCCAAGGTCCGCTCTTATTCCTCATTTCCTTCTGCATCATCATCATCGTCATCATCGTCATCATCGTCATCATTCACTATCATCACCATCATCACCATCATCACCATCATTACCATCATCACCATTATTATGCTCATCACCATCATCGTCCTCACCATCTTCTTCATCTTATTCATCTTCTTCTTCTTCTTCTTCTTCTTCTTCTTCTTCTTCTTCTTCTTCTTGCATTCGTCCTCCTCCTCCTCCTCCTGCAGCGAAGGTTGGATGTCTTTCACAAGCGCTCCCAGTCGTCGTCTGCAAGTTAGCTTCTGACCCGCCATCTGGAATGTAACAAAGCCATGCTCCCCCCCCCTCTACGAACACCCGTGGCAGATCTTTTCTAAACGTGAGGCATGTCGCTGGCCTAGTTTGGCACACATCAAATGTGGGCCTCTGGCGATTGAGGTGTTTTCATTCACTGGGTGCTGAGGGGGGGGGTCTGGAAAAATAGGCGCACGCTGGGTCAGATGGCCAAATGCACCCGACCTGCCCACAAAAGGTTAACCTGTTCAGTTTTGGAAGCACATATCAAAAAGTCTGGGGCAGCATCGAAGCACTGACACCAAATGGGGCACTTCCCTGGGAGAAAGAACAGCTGAAGCGGAGCCCCAAGCTAAGTCCGAATAGCTTGGCTGTGGCATATCTCCGAACTTTAGGGGGCCTCGTGCTTGTCAATACAGTCGTCGAATTGGACAACCTGGGATAGCCCAAGCAAAGTCCAACCCCCCCCCGGCCCCCTCAAAGCCGAGATCTGCCAAGAAGCCGCCTTGGCCGCCTTGGCCGCCGCCGGCTCCGCCGCTGCAGCTGGTGCCGGGGCAGCTGGTGCCGGGGCAGCTGGTGCCGGGGCAGCTGGTGCCGGGGCAGCTGGTGCCGGGGCTGACTCCGGCTTCGGCGACTTTGGTGGCTCCTTTGCCTCCTGGACAGCAGCGTGGCTTGCGTGGCCACGTCCAAGGATGGGCTCTTAGAACCTTCTAAAAAGGGTTTCTTAGAAGGCTTTTTAACGCCTTCCTGCGGGGTAGGGGCTCCCCTGGTCGCCAAGATGCCTCAGCCTTTGCGCGCCACATGTTGCCTCTTTGAGTCCCCGGCTTTTGTGGGGAGACTTAGCGAGCCCCGCGCAACGTCTGTCCCAGATGGACGCCTCCTGAGGGGGTCCTATTCTGGTGTTTATCGTTGTATTTGGAGGGGGGCCAGAATAATTTTCTGGCAGCATTCGAGGCAATTCTTCCTATTCCTTTTCACCGGTCAGAGCCAGATCTGCTGGTTTCAGAAGTATTTCCAAGGTCGGAAGTGAATTTCGCCATTCTTCACCTAAGGAATTTCATCAAATTGGGTGAACCATTTTTTTGATGGGTTGAAGCCAAGGGTTACAGAAAGCCATGTATTGCATTTGGAGGGTGCCATCATGTTGATGCATAAGGCAACTGTCCACGAGAAGCAAACAGCTTTTGAATTGCTTTGTTCTCCTCACGAGAGATCCTGCCGATTGGCAAATTTTCGGGACGCCTGGATGTGTCAAAAACCCATGTCGCAACTCCATTCACTTGCCCAGCAATGGTGGAAAAGGCGAGCTGTCCAACCTCGCTGCCACCCGAAACGCAGGGGGCAGCTTTGCGAGGAGCTCTACACACGAGCGCTTGGTTCGTTCGATGATCTTCAGGGTCGTTTTCAACAGAGGCGGTCTGTTCATGGCCGTCCGGTCTTCGCCCCACGTCAGAGCGCTGCCTTGGCCGCTCGCTCCGCTCTTCGCTGCCGAAGGCCCTCTGCCTGCACGGGAGGGAGCGCTGGGCGGCGTTGGTCGCTGGACGGGTCATTGGTCAACGCGCCCTAGAAAAGCGTTCCTCAACAACCAGGACTGCTTGATTTATCCCACAAACCGTGGAAAGGGCAGTTTCATGCTAACGAGGAACATCCTCCGCGACGCAAAGCGCGGGCCTCCGCCTCTGCTGCCGCTTCTGCCTTGGCCTTGGACGCCTCCATGGAAGCCTGGCTCGGGAACCCCGGGGGGTCGAATGCCGCCAGATTAGAACCCGGCCTCGCACGGAACCAGCCATGCTTCTGGGACATCGGTTTGGTGATACCAAAGCGAAACAAGTCCATACTACTTCACTTCGAAGAGCGGAGGCTTTTTAAGCAACGCCCTTTGTTCCGAGAACACTAAAGGCAGTTGGCCAATTTGTTGATTCTCCGCTTGCTGCCCGGTTTTGAGGATTGTATTGAAAGACGAAAAGGGACCCGGCACTTTCAAGGGCTCCCTATCTCAGCTCCATCATGCCTGGTTGGTCGTGGCTCCCGATCGTCCAAAGTCCCCGTGGCGAATGCCTCAACTTGGGCATTCACTACTCATTGCCGACCAAAATGGATTGCGAAAGTTCACGGTGTTCTTCACCAAGCTCTTCTTCGTAGTGGGCCAGACGTATGCGGAGAACAAACATGTCGTTGCTGAGTCTGGTGCCGAACCGCCGAGCTGCTCTGGGGAAAGCTTGTGCGTGGCAGTCGCGCTCGAGCGAGGAATATCGTGGGCGTGCCAGACACCCAGCTGCAGCGATTCTAGCAGCTGGTTGATCTTCATCCAAAAAGGCATTCCTTGTCACCATCCAAGCCAAAGAAACTTGTCTTTGCTACCACCGGGAATCCCTTTTTCATGGGTGTTGAAGGGGAACCCTGAAGCCAAACTCCTTTTCGTTCATGGAATCGCTCGCAAACACTCGAGGATCGCTTGGCCCAAAGCGCTTTGAGTTCCAGGGCGACCCTCCCAGCGGCGTCCGTGCCTGGAGCGCTTCCAGTCTCTTCCGCCGCAGCTCCTGCAAGTCCAAGCGACGCGAGACTTTCAGAAACTGTGCCGTCCATCCCCTCTAATTGTCTTCCTGGTTTTCAGGGACTGAGGGAATAACCCCCGTACACCATCCCTCGTGGTTTCCTTTATTCGGGAATCCCCTTCCGGTTCATTCCCAAAACCCCGGGTCATTCCGTACTGAGCACCAGCAAGTTGTGATGCTGTCCAGGAGCCCTTGGACAGGGGAAGGACACCAAAATCATATATATATATATGTATATATATATATATATTATAGAGAGAGATAGAGAGAGAGAGAGAAGACAAAGGGAAAAAAACGTATGAAGAACCACTCTCGAAAGCCCCCATCCAACTTCCTGGGTCTGAGTCCTTGAGTTGGACCCCTCGAGATGGTTGGCTAGCAGCTAGCAGAAGGATCCCACCCTTTTTGACACACCGATTGGTGTGTCAAACCTGGGCACCCGTCCACATGGCCAGCTTCTTTCAGCTTGCTCTCAGCACATCCCCAATCAGACCCAGGAATGTGTCAAAACCAAGTGTGCCCCCTTTCAAAAAAGATATGCTTTCTTTTTTGACTTCAGACCTACCAAAACGCGTTGAACTGTTTTTGACAAATTCCCAACCAGCTCGCACACGGCCGCCATTTTGAATGCCAAACGCATCAGTCAGTGGGCAAAGCAAAAGAAACCAAGTCTCGTGCAGCTCCCCGAGAAGGTTGGTCACTGGATCCCATGGACCACGACCATGGGCAACTGGATGGCAAGCCAATCCCCCCTTCACCTAAGGGTCATAGATGAATTTGCAAGTTTGTCCAAACTTAGACCCCCTGGACAAGTTAAGTGTTTGCCGGTTGCAACGAAAGATTCAAGGAACAACCAACTGACGTGGTTGAACCTGGCCAGACTCTGATCTCAGGAAGTCTCGTGACCTGATCACAATTGAAATTGACAAGTCGATCGATGCAAACAACATACACAACTATGCCCCGAAATCAGCGCAACGTGTCACGAGAAGCTGCTTCTGCCTAAAGAGCCTGAAGAATTGGACACGGGGATCCATGGTTCCATTTACCTGGGCTCCATGTTGGGTACCTACTTTGGACAACCACAGCCATATCACGTACCATCCTGACTGCGCAGTCCGGGTGTCCGTCCTCCGCGTCAGGCACTGGCGCCGGGACGCCTTCCGACGAATGGCGAGCTGAGGCTTTGAAGGCGCCAACTCGTTGTCATGCTGCCCAGGTAGGCCAACAAAATGGTAGCAAAAACATGTTGCTTTTAGAAGCCCTCTAAAAATGAACAGAACCAAAAAACCAAAAAAAAAAAAAGCCGAAAACAGTGAAGTTAATCAATGTTGGTTTAAACAACCTCCTTTTGGTATCCTTTTCTAGAGACTGACAGGAGCAGAAGTGCTCGGACACCTTTTCGCTGGCTGGCGCAGGATAATCGCATTGTCTCGCAGAGCCGACCTGCCTGGATCTTGCTAAATCAAATTACCCAAGCACCAACATGAAGCACAAAGCGGGGCACAGCGACCATTCTCATGGTATGTCTTGTATGTGTACGTGTATAGTTGTTGGTATCTGTACAAGAATATATGTATGTGCATGCGTATTTCCAAGTACTGGTTTGAAGTGATCACCTTTGGAAAGACTGCCCTGACATGTGTCTGAGCAAAGGGACCTTCATGAGTTGAGCTCGTTTTACCCCCAAAGATTGGTCTCAGTCAGCTCCCCACCTGCGCTGCTTCCGCCGGCTCCGGCTCCGGCTCCGGCATTGCTCCAGAGCCACCAGCCTGCGGAGCTCGAAGACTTGGAGCTGAAAGCAAGCTGTGTGGTTGAAATGGAAATCGAGGAAGCCCGTTCAGGGCCTTTGAGGCGAACATGCCGAGCTAAGTCCGGCAATGACAAGTTATTCGCCTGGTCCCTGGACGCATCCGAAAAAGGAACACCCCGAAAGGTTGAGATTGAAAGGTGTCTTCTCTTTCGACCTCAGCCACCGGCACAAAACAAAAATCAAAGGCACAGGTGCCCTGTTTGTTCACCCACTCCCCTTACCGCGCAACTGGTTCTCTAATGCGGGTGGTCGCATGCCAGCAACGTAAGGAGTGTCAGGGTCACCATGGCCTCCCAAAACGGAGCTTCCAACGTTCCCCGAAAAATGATGTTGCCACTTTCCTTGCCGAACGAAACCAGCAAACCAAGCGCGTCCTTGTCCATACTTTCCAGAATCCTGTTTGTTGCTAGTGCCGCCACAGGGCGCCTGGTCGTTTCGCGGCGGTTCAGCTGTTTTTCTGTCGCTCCACGCCGCGGTGGGGGGTGGGTGGGGGGCTGGGTGTAGGGGGGGGTGGGGGGGGGGTAATAAGCACACGCATTCACTACGCGGCATGAGAATAAATTCATGCATCTCAGCCTCATGTCGCCTCTTTTTCATCGTGTCCAATGTTGAGCACACGCGTTCACTGCGCCGCATGAGAATAAATTCGTGCATCTCAGCCTCATGTCCGCTCTTATCATCGTGTTGAGCACACGCGTTCACTGCGCCGCATGAGAAGAAATTCATGCATCTCAGCCTCATGTCGGCTCTTCTCATCGTGTTGAGCACACGCGTTTCCGGTTGCATCGCTGGCTCTCAGGGAGTGTTCAGCAACGTACAATCCTCGCGCGGTGTCTCTTTGCTTGTCTTTGGTGTTGCCTTTGCGCATTGCTAAAGTACCGCCGCCGAGACGCTCACCGGCTCCATTGTCTGCTTGGCGTGCGTACCCTTTTTCCTTGATCAGCACATTGATGTCTTTGCTGCTGTTTCGGTGTCAGATCCAGTTTTGGGTTTTGTGATTGCTCTTCTGCGATGCCTGACCCTTCTCCAATTGACTTTTGTGCGCTGTGTGATGATCTTGTGGGTCTCCTATGTCTCGCGTTCTCGCCGGGCGCTGCCTTTGCCTTTGGCGGCTGCTGCGTATGTATTGTCTCGACGTGTACTGGGGCTCCGTCAAGTAGATGCCCGCCAACTTTCTCATATCACGATTTTTCGAGGTGAGGCTGAGAGCATCAAGTAGATGCCCGCCAACCAGCTTGCGAAGATGTGCAGCTGCAAAAAAAAGGGCCCCAGACGTGGTGTGATCTGATTTGCTCAATGATTGCAGTGCACAACCCAAATGGAGCCCAAATGGAGATGATGTCAGATGAAGGGTGTTTTCTCTGAAAAAACATTAGTTTGGAGGAATTCTAAAACCACAGTTGTTCATTGAGAAAAGCTGAAATCATTGGCAGGCGCATTGAAACCAAGAAGGGTGAACCTTTAAAATCACCAGGCGCCTCATGGCGTAATGACCTGTTTGTTATACTGATTCAGAGCCATACACGTCCTGCGGCAAGTGCTGCCAGCAGCAAAAGCAGGGGCAGCATCGACGCCTGAGCAGACAATCTCCCTGGAAAATCCCTACATGCCTGGGGTACTTACCCACCTATCCAGCCATCCATCCAGCCAGCCAGCCATCCATCCATCCATCCATCCATCCATGCATCCAGCCATCCATCCACCCACCCACCCACCCACCCACCCACCCATCCATCCACCCACCCACCCACCCACCCACCCATCCATCCATCCATCCATCCATCCATCCATCCATCCATCCATCCATCCATCCATCCATCTCTCAACACCAACCCCCTCCCCCCACCCCCCAAAAAGAAAGCTGCTTCCAGCTCAGTTCACATCTGAAAAAGCAATGGTCAAAGGTCCCGGCATCCCACCCCTCAGAACTGGCAAAATGGAAAGTACAAAACACCGAAAACAAGTGTTAAAACAATCTGCAGGGATAAAGATCTGGCAGCTGCATCTCCATCCAGAACTCCTTGTTGCTTCAGTTGTCAGTTGGTGCCAGTTTGTTTGTTCGGTTTGTTCATGTTTCAGTTCTGTCTGTTCTTTCAGTTCTGCACAAATGTCCCTCGTGTGCAAGCTTTAGCTCTGAGCGCTGTACAGCATATGTTTGTACAAAGGCATGAACAGCAAAGTGCTCAAATTTGGAGGGTCTGGACAAAGCGGCGGAGATGACTGAAAAAGTAACGTAAATACGCTGACTCATAGCAAACCCTTGAAAGATTCCATCTTCAAAATTCTGATCATTTGTTATAGCTTCTGCGTCCAAATCCGCCGGGAGTCTTTGCAAGATCCGGCTCTTTAAAATGTATCTCTTCACAAATCTCCGGATACTGTCCAAACTCAATGTGCGTCGGTAAAAGTCCACCTCAAATGTCTACTGTACACGATAGGTATCAAAACCTCCTCAAATGTTTCCCTGAATATTCCGTATATCACATACATCCCATTCTGTCTGTCTAGTTGTGCATGCTGGAGTGGTTTGTGTAGTAGACAATGCAAGAAGTCACGCTAAATGACAGAAAATCCGGACGAAAGAAACAGGCTGCTCCAAGAAGAAAGGTCTGGCAGCTCCATCCTCTTAGTAATTTGGTGCTTGCCCGGTACCACAAAAAATGACCTTTTGTGCATTAGTGCGAACACACGCATGTTCCCAAAAAGGTTAAAGGTTAAAGATCCAACCATGAAAGTCAAGCCAATCGTCAAATTCAACGGTATTTGATGAAAGGCAAAGGGACATCCATCCACCTCAGGATTCTTTAGATCCATTGGACAGTAAGCCTTGACAATGGGCCCATGTACTCCCCCGCAGATTTACACAGAACCCGAAAACGGGTCCCCAAGAAGAGATTTCTCTAGAAATGAAAAATGATACGATTTTCTAGGTTTGCCAGGGATGCAGATGCGCAACAGTCAAAACTCCTCATGCAGATCCCCAAAGGAGGGTGCATCCAAGAATGATGGCTTCGTGGGTTTCATTATCATCAGCGGGAGTGTAATAGGATGCCTTTTAGTGCTTTTCAAATTCCCTACTGGTGGTGAATCATCTATCAGGGTGGTTCGGATGGGAGATCACTACAACAACGGAAATCACTACCAAGTGACATATGGATTCAGGGTTGATTCTGAACAAAGTAATTCTTTTGACAATGCGTCTTTGTTGAGGATACCTTCCTTTTCAGGTGGTTTTAAAGACAGGAAATCAAAAGGAAACCATCCTTCTAGTGGCCCTGTTTGACGTATATGACACATACCAGAAGCGTGCCTCACCTGCCTGATGGACCTCCATCAAAACCGTTTGGTATGTAAGAAGCCCAAAGCCCAAAGCCCAGTGTCCCATCAAATACACCAGATAAAGGGGATGTATTGCACCCTTGTCTTTGACCAGGGTATGCACTCAAGGAATATTTTTTGGTTGGGGATCGAACATGCGTTTGCGAGGGCAAAGAAGCCCAATGGGCCGAACTTGGGGCAGTTCTAGTGGTTCGAATGAGTTGTCCCCAGGCGAAGCATGACAGAACACCCAAACTGGGCAAATCAGAATCCGGGCAAATTCCGGCCATACCTATGAAAGGAACCTTCACATCAGGGCGTTTTGCCGATTCGGTCGACCCACCCCTCGCGCCGAAACACGCCTGCTCTTCCGGCGCCGGCGCCACTGGGTCGCCCATGCTCCCGATCATGCCTCAGGGGAATCGGGGGGACTGCCACAAGATGGACTTGACCAAGGGGTTTCAGTTTCCTTTCGGGAAAATCAACCACTGGGTTTCAGTCTACCCTGGGGTCAAAAAAGAGTGGAACCCTGAATCGGGCGCCTAGTGTCCGATTTCCTAGTTTTGGGCAAACCCTAAAATTGCAGAATAGAGCCCATGAGCCTCACGTGTCCAAGCGTCTGCGGCTTAAGATGACTTGCTAGGGCCACGGTTTTCCATGAGAAGCAAAGGTGAAGCAGCCCGTCGGAAGAGACAACAAGAATGGCGGCCGATTTGACACCTTCCAATCTGTCATGTTTTCCAACACCCAGCTCTCCGAAGGATTCCAGTCCGAAAAGCTCATGAACATGCCACGCCAAGGTTTCGTTTTCCGGATTCATGGAAGGCATAGGACTTCGAGTCTCGCAAATTGCACGTGGTCCTTCCAACAAAGACCTAAGGAACCTGTCAGAAGTTCCTTAGGGAGACAATGGTTGACATTTGACATCGTCATGGGCCTCTGTTGGTCTGTCGGATTCCACATGTGCAGAGGGGCGCACACGTTGAGTCAATCGGGACTAAAGGCCAACAGATAGAAAACGAACTGGCGGTCGCAGTTTCTGCCAACTCCACGTCTTCCCATTTCACCCCTTCAGTCTGCGCCTTCTGCACCTTCCTCCATACCCATGATTGGCAAATCTCCAAGTCCAAACCTGCTCGGCGGAAGTTTGGCGGTTGCTTGCCAGGTGCCGGTGAGCGGTCAAGGCCGTGATCTTGGGTGTGCATGCTACGACGTGCAGTTTTGGTCATTTCTGTCTCTTCTCTGCTGGCAAATCCGTACAATTGCCCACGTTCACGAGCAGCTGCTGGGAAATACAGCGTGGGGTATATGCTGAGAGGGTATCTGCTCCCAGAGATCACGTTGGGAACCTCTCTACTGCAAAACTCAGCATGCATCGGTATAATTTCCAATGCAAGACCCTCTGTGAAGCTGATGGTCTGAGCCAGAAAAGACGGCAGCCAAGGAACTCTTGTCGCGTTGGGAAATAATAAAGCCTTATTCACTCCTGTGACAAAGTAGCCTTTTGTGTTTCGCGCCACTCTTCATTTCACCTCGCTGACGCGCTGGTTGCGAACAAGCAAATACGGCATGCCACGCATTGCACTAACCAGAAGGCCTGGTAATTTACATGGCATCTTATAGTTAATCGAACCTGTGACTCACCGCTACTTGTAGTTGTTTCAGCTGCAGTCAAAAAGAGATTCCACCACAACAGCCGCTACGAGTACTTCACCCTGTGCTGACTCCTCCGCTCTTATCCCAAGCTCACAACCCTGTCCCTGGCACACAGCACCAACTGTCAAAGGGGCCCAAGGGGTCAATTTGCGACACCAGCCGTGGCCATGGTCAACATGTTCCTGGTGTCCTTCATAGACAGGACCAACCCACCAAAAAATAGAAGCTATTCGGCCTAGTGTTCAGATCTCCCCAAAGGGTGCATCATGGTCCTTGGCCCTCACACTTACCTCAAGGCTGCGGGCCTTCCATTCAGGTAAACGCATAGAAACTTGAAAGCTGGCAAGGGCGCGACAAGAAGAGTGTGTGAGTGCGTGTGTGTGTGTGTCTCTGTGTGTGTGTGTGTGCCTGTCTTAAAATAGGACCCGCCAACAAAAACGGCTGAACGGTTTCTTTTTGGTTTCCCTTTAAGCCAACCAACACGGTGCCCAACAAAGACAAACACACCCATGTGTGACACACATCTTGGGGTTGAGACACTTTGACAGTGGAAGCCAGGCTCGGATCCAGAAGCCATTGAAGTCGGTACGTCTGGAGTTGACATCCAAGACCCTCAAATACGTCGGTTTAAACCAGCGATGGACAGCCCGGGATTCAAACATCAAGGGGGGTTGCCTGCCCTTTGTGAAGAGATGGTGATACACGCCTTCCGATTAATTTCTGTCGTCACGACTCAATGCTAGTCTTCCTCCCCAATCCCACTCGCCCGCCCTTTCCCTCCCTTCATCTTGCTCGTCACTCCGCGGGACGCGCAAAGGCATGCATCGCTCACGCAGGGATGTCAGCTGCACTTTCCACCTGCGAGGGGCTTGCCAGGGTGGGGCGCACACCCTTATTTCAACATGGTTGAACGCCCCGAGTTTGAGCCTCCCTTTGGTTTCCCTTCAAAGGAGCCCAGGGTCCAGGTGATCAACCTTATTGCTTACCCAAGCAGCCTCTGGCTGGACCTATTCGCTTGTTCGTAGTCCCCCCTCCGCTGTGCAACCCCACCAACCCGCGGAAGTCCATGCCCCTCTCCGCAGAGACCTTCAGGGAGGTTCCATGCGAGTGTCAAGTCCTTGACGGAAACCAGCGATGGGCCACTTTCGCCCATTTCAGAGGGCTTGTGGGTCTGCCTGAATATAGGCAAAAAACTTCTTGGATGGTCTCAAAGGGAAGCCAGAGAAACACACAACCCGGGTCTCTAAACTGAAAAGCACCCATCAGTGCCCAAAACTCATTGCCTTTAGCTTCTACCTTTGCTTCCACCAAGCAGGTTGCAAAGGTTTACACAGGCCTTCCCAGAGCCACACAAAAGACCAGCACAACAAACCCACCAAATTGGCATAGTGAGGGTGTTCGGTCGGCGCTGGCTGGGCACTGGGCTATGCCAATATGTGTTTGATGTTTCTTTGCTCTCAGCATCGGCCTGTCCGGTTCTGACCCACTTGAAAGGAAGTGCAATGCGGACAATATGACAGCCGGCCAACGAAGCCAGCCATTCTTGCGTCTGCATTTTCATGAGCATTGCTTCACTGTATGTAGTTGCTACAGCCAAGATACCTGCACCCATGGTCAAACTATCACAAAATGGAAACATGGAAAAGGGGCAAACCAGTGCAAAGTCAGAACAAACCAGCTCAAGCAAGTACCCCACCAGAAACCATCCCAAGCAGGTGCAAGCCACAACCGGCTTCCCTCTAGTCATCCGTCCAGTCCGCAGCCTCCACCAAATACTTGAGCTGAGCCTGCCCAGCGTTGTACACCTGGGCACCGGTGTCCGTGGAGGGATGGATGCGGCAGCAAAATGTTCACAACTGGCCGAGAACCGGCCGCATCGCTCACGATTCGCCGCCAAATAGGAAGCCGCCTCTTTGATGGGAGGAGCTGAGACGTGCTTCACCCTGGCCACAGTTTGAGGAAATGAAGGAAGGCCCAAGAGAAAAAAATGTGTTCAGCGCGGTCCGTTTGCTTAGCCAAACGGAAGCGGGAAAAGTGGTCAGCCTACCCCACACATTCACCCAATGGATCTCATTTTAGACCGTCCGTGGGTGATGGAGCTACAACACCCATGCAACGATCGTCCAAGACTTGCCTGTTCAGTGAGAAAAATGCAATAAACTCTTTCCCTGTTGGCTGAATCTAACATCATATAGTGAGTCTGAGCCGTAGCAGGGCAGTGACAGCAGCCCATTTGTGACCATTAAGGACCATCAAGGACCAGTCTTTCCCATGGCTCCCGTTGCTATGGCTCTGAATCAGTTGGTTAAAGAAACTCAGTCACCCAAAAGGGGAAACACGCGTGCCGCTGAACTGCAGATGAGATTCACTGAACCCACGGGTGACATGCACGTCCAAGCATACCAGCACAAAGCAGTCCATGCCGATCCCATTTTGCTTCGAAACACCAAAGTTGTGCCATGCCTCAGTAGCTTGATTCGAAAAGGACAACGGGAAGGTGACTTCCAGTCTATCCCTCAAGCACTGACCGCCAAAAAGTGGGCCATGGCTGTGTCTTTCTGCGAGGGCACCTTTTTGGGATGGCTTTGAAGGGTGGGACAGAAGAAAAAAAAGAACATGAGGATCCCCCTATTTGAAGACAAACCCACATGTCGCTAGCCGGGGAACCAAGCTAAAAGCTGAGCCCTTCACAAACGCTCAAAAAATGTTTTCGCTCAAACCAAGGTCTAACCAAGATCTGCGAGTTGCGACCAACGCCCGCCCTTCACCCAGGCTTCAAACAGGTTGTCTTTGTGCTTGGGAAATGGTGATATCGGCTATGATATTGGCCCTATCACTCTGATTGTGGGTTGATCATTCTTCATCACAAACTCATCGGGCACAGTGCGAATGACCCAGCATGTGTCATGCCGGCCTTTTGAACAACTCAAATGTGTTTTTTTTTGCAAGACACCAAATATCCCTTTTCCGCTACGGTATCCATGTGCAAACCCGCGCGAATGCCTCACGTTCTCGGAAAAAGAATCGGCTCCTCCGTCTGAGCCGCCCGGCAACGTAGTGGTTGTGCATCAAGTCCCCCGTGGATTTCACCTGCCCAATGTGGCTGCGTGTGTGCGTGTTCTTTTTTGATTGTACCCTGTTCAGTTCGCTTTAATGCAAAACGAAAAGAAATTGCCGGGGGGGGGAGGGGGCGTCCCCCCCGTGCTTTGACACGTGCCCATGTGGGCGTTATTCCAAAATCGATACAATGTTGGACCCTTTGCAGCTGCGGCCTGAAACAGGTGAGCCGCAATGAAACCTAGTTTTGCCAAATGGTCTGCCCAAAACCAGCGTCACCTATGTCTGGTTAGGACCGTCCCCTACTCACCTCCACTTACACTGGTTTTGATCGCACACGTGCGGTCAAAGATTCTCACCATGGGAGAGTGAATCTAATTGTGACTTCGCTGCTCTTGTGAAAATAAGAGTGGATAACCAGGCCTGTGTCAGGACTATTATCTGGGTAAGCGCATCATGAGCATGTTTATGGATGTTTGATGTTTTACCAAGTCCAAAAAAAACAAGAAAGTATATCACCCTCATCATGGGTCGATTCAATCATTCCACACTGCCATCTCTTGTTTTGCCAAGAAACTGAGCTACAGTTGCTGACGGCTCATGGAATAATGCACGTAGCTGATCATCAGTCATATAAATAACGATCATTAAACGTTGACTCCTAACAATTCAGGAGCAAAGTTCCCAAAAAACATAAAGGGCTCATAAAAGGAAAGGACTCTCCTAACTGCTGCCAGTTAGCAGACTTTTGAAGGGTCGCAGCCCAGAACCGATTCGGAAATAACAAGGCCGGGCTGCGTCCTGAAATCTGGGCTGCGAGTCCGCCCTGAGCAAAAGGTCTAACTGTTTATAGATTTAACGGTACAGCCATTCACGACAGTTCAAGCCCAATGCATGGCACATAGGTCTCGAGGAAAACCGCGGAATTGACCATGGTCTGTGTGGAGGCTAAAGATGTGCGTCAGCCCTCCACACGGGTGCAAGCAGAGTTGACCATCTATGACGCCCACGTGCAATGGTTAGGGAGCCCAAAACAAAGCTTCACCTTACCCCGAATTGGTGGCTTGGAGTGGTGGTTTGGAGATTTGAACACCAGGTTCTTGGTGAAACCAAAGAAGGAACCGGTTCCTAACCTCCAAACCTCCAAGCCAAACCAAGTGGGCGATGACCATGACTGCGCAAAGGATCCTTCGTCCTTTCGCTTTACCCCCTTGGAATCGCCGTGCAGGCAGAGGGAATTCAAAGTCGGCTCCCTCATCGGAGTGTACCTCTTGACCCCCGTCTTTGGCTGAACGACATGCTGGGCGCCCTGAAGCTGTTTGGAAGCCCCTTTTGACTGAGGTTACAACTTTGCCTTCCTAACAAAGGCCCATCACCCTTCTTTCCCAAAAAGAGGCACGTCTTGATTTCCTAAAAAGGCTCCTCCGAACTCCCTCAAGTGCCAACCTACACCCTGGCTCAACACTCCCGAAGCCGTCTGTCTACTCGTGCCTGGCGCAGCGTTCCCAAAGGCACCGCAAGGCCATCGGGCAGCCTACGGTTTCTGGGGCCAAGGCTTATGGAACAACTGGAACGTCCTTCCAACCAGCTGGGCAAGTGGCGATATATCCTGAAAAGGAGATAAGGGATCCCAAGGTAAAGTTTCATCATGGGTAAGCCTGCTTTGGGTGAGCTTCGTCCCAATTGGCCCAGAAAAGGCATGGAAGCGGATAGAACCTTTTTCGAGAGATGCCAGCTTCCACGACTGTTGGAAAGAGGGTACTGTTCACGCTCCTGCAGATGGACCTTCAACCAAAAATATTTTGGGAATCGCTTTTCAGGGGCGCATTTGCGCCCTTTTTCTTAGGGCCAGGGTCTGGCTGCATACGTAACATTTTGCCAACCCTGAATTCCGGGTCGAAACCTTCTTCCCAAAAGCAAAGCGCCTGTGGTGAGGCAGGAAAGCATGCCCTGCAAGTCAGTCAAGCTTACCTGCAGGTATGCGCAGGATGTGCTAAGGCGGCAATGCCCTTGAAGCATTCAAGCCGGCCCAGCAAGTCGCTCCTGCTTACGCTTTTCAAGATGTATCTCCTGGAGTGAATGGCTTTCCAACAGGGGACCTCAAAAGCAGGCGGCTCAATCAGCCGTTGCTGCAAAGCCAAGGGCACCGGCCTCTGCAAATGTTCGCACCCTACTTCAAAAGCTCTGTCAAGGAGGCCAGAGACCACCGCCGACGAAAGCAACTGTGGCCTGCGATCAAGCATTTGCCTGCCAAAACATTACGAAAATCTAGTCCAGAAAGGTATTTACACTTGATAATTTTCGCAGGGAAAAGGCCGGTGGAAGATGCGATTCGGTCGCACCAAAGATTTAGTGCCCAAATGTGCCTTAGCATGTCCCGTTGGTTTCCCGTAAAACTCCAAAAGTTTGACTCTGACACGCCCATTTCCAACAGCAACGCTGCCCAGCTCAGCTCGCCTGCGCTCTCCTGCGGGGTCTGGACACCACACGCCGGCGCCCATGACTGACCTCGAGCGTTGATGCCCACCCCAAATTGTAAGGATCCAAATCCTGATTTTGACACATACCCACACAGCAGGGCCCAGCAACTGGCAGAAAATGCATGCCAGGGAGAAGCGAGTGAAGCCGGAATGTGCTTCAAACTACACCCATCTTGCGCGGACCCGTCGTCCACGCGGATGGTTCCAAAAACGAAAATATCCACATCCAAACTGCTCGGTGAGATGGGGGCCTCCCAAGGTTAAGCCCATTTCGGGGGAAATTGGACCCCAGCACAGCAAGGAACGCAAATTCATCCGGAGGACCCTACTGGACGGAAGAATTCCCTTCAACCTGAGGGCCCCGGCTGCACGCCCT